AGAATTGCTGTATGGTCACGGTCATCTTCTTCACTTTATAAACCAAACATTATGCCAATCCCTCTCTGCTTAGCATTTCCTTGTCCAGCCCTTAGAGCTTCATAGAATTCCACAAGAGAAGGACACGTCACTCGGCTAAGTAAATTAAGTCCACAGTAGCCAGCACTGTGACATTCCAGCTAATGCTACAGTATGAGCCTGACAAATGAAGATAGCAGAAAGAGGGAAAAGAGCGCAAAGCACAAAGAGCAAAAGACACAGTGAGGGAGAGATAGAAGGAGAGAGACCACTGCTGAGCAATACACAACAGTGCGAGAATCATGAGTTTGACAACAGTGGCCCTGACCTTGCCAGGCGTGGACAGGTTCCAAATGAGCTTGGAGTTGGAAAGGTGTCAAGTGCTTTTAAGCTCTGTGGACATTTTTGAACTTCTGTGGCCCCAGTGAGGCTTTCAATAGAGTGTATGTGTGTTTGCATGTGTGCAGTCTGCTGTGTGCGTGCAGTATACTCTGAAGCAGCATTTTGACCCTATTGAGCTGAGGGATGAGTGTGTGCCAGCTCGATGGACACTGTGTCCACCTGTGCGTGTGTGTGTGTGTGTGCTTCTAGCTATTTCAGAGGGAGTCTATAAAGGCCAGTGGAGTGAGTGTTTATGGGGCAGGCCAGTGGGAGGCGTTAAAAAGGTACCTGTTTGTGATGGGGCTTGATTGGAACTAGGTCAGGATGCTCCTGCTCTCCTTCTCCTCTTTCTTCCCACTCCCTTCTCTTCATTTTTTATTGCTGTCTCTCTTTCTCCTCCTAAACCTTTTCATCTGTCTCTGTCACTAAATCTCTTTTTCTCTGCCAGGTATATTTAGTTCGCTACTTTTCTGTAGTTTTATTTTATATCACAAAATCATCGCTTCTCTACAGGAGCGTATTGCTGCCACACCATCCTGAAAACAACATACAACAACATACAAACTTATCACAAGAAACTTTTATTTTTATTTTTCATACTATTTATCTTGTTAAAATGTGAATCATTTCATCTGTACACATGACAACATTGTAGGCATAAAATAAAAGTTATATGTTGTAAAGTTATCACATAATAACATGATACGTTTCACATTATAACAATATAAATAGTATATTGTTATATGTAAGGATTATAACAGCTATGTCGTAATAACATTTAATTATCTTGTTATAACATGAAAAACATTTTGTTATAACAATAAACTTTTCACATTACAGCATGATACTGATCCTATTTTTCTTTTTCTGCCGTGGCAGCAATACACAACCTAACCTCCCCCTCTATTTTTATTACATTATTTTCTCTCTTTCTGCCCTTTGCTGCTTCCTTCTTCTCCCTAATTTGTTCTTCTGTAGGCTATTGTAATTTTTGTAAGTTTAAGGCTTTTGAAGTTTTATTCCAAAATTCTCAGAAATTCAAAAGACTAGAGAAGAATATTGCCTAAAGTGTTTTATCAGTTTATCAGTATCACTCCGAAATGTAGAGAATCCATTCCGTTCAAGAGCTCCATTTTGAATTAATTTCATTATTATTAGCTTTAATTAAGGACTGTCTGTCAAAAATAAATCACATCAGTGCCACATATCTAGTACCATTTGCTAGTTTGCTGTTATCTGTCCTCCCCTCCTTTCTGCATCTCTGTTCCTGTCTTCTCTCTGCTCTCTTCCCATTAGCACAATTTATTACACTGTTTACACATTCAGGTCCCATGTCTGAACACACACACGGGTACTACTAGATGCATACTTAAACTAGTGTGCATGCAGCAAAGCTTCAGTATTCTTGCCTGCCACATTTGCCATATGGGGCATGTTATCATTCTCCATATAGATTCCTCCTCTACAAATCCAATAAGTACATTGCACCACAGTAATTGCTAAGGAGTGTAATTCATGACTAATTCATGTCAGGGTTAATTTATTAAAAATGACTTATCAATATTTTACACAACTCCTCCATTATTCACACCAGAACATGCGCTAAAACGTATCTGTGTCAGGCCATGGAGTTAGCATGGCAAGTGTTTGTTTCTGTGTGTGTGTGTGTGTGTGTGTGTGCCTGGCACTAAGTTATTCTGATTTGCAACAGCGCGAATTTCCTAAAAAATTCGAAAGGAAAAATGAAATTCCTGCAGAAATGTGCGGCCGTTATTGAAGGGGATGTTGTCAGTGTAGGGCTGATTGGAGCTCGTTGGAGTCCGGTCAGTGTCACTCGCTCTCGTTCAGCAGGTGGAGACAGCTGCTGCTGCTGTTTGAATATTAATACACCTGCTATACAGTAGAGCTCAGATACTTTCCTCTAGCTTGAGCTGGAAACCGACGGGTTCAACAGGATATCATATGCTTAACGCCATCTCATAATACAGTAGCTTAAGAAAATAGAGGGAGGAGATTAGAATACATGGTTCATGTTAACATGTTTTTTTGTGTCTCTGGCATGGCAAGGAAGGCCGTGCAGGTGATCCAGCTTCAGTGAAGGCACTTAACACCCAGCTGCCCCAGTAGATCTGCGCAGTGGCCCATAAGAGGACTGACTGGGCAGTTTCCAGATGTGGATGTACTGTGTATGCCCCTGTGATTGCTGAGCAAACCCTCACTCTTTCAAGTGTGTGTAGGCGCATGCGTGTCCAGTCTTAAAACCAGTGATACAGGAAGTTCAGAGGAGGTGACGGAAAGCGAGTACGGTCACATGGATCGGAACATGAAGTCGAAGAAGCTTCCTGTAAACACAGTGTGACGGGAGAAGAGGGAAGAGAGAGCGTTGCAGTCTAGTTGTAATATGTCCCATCCCCTCCCTCTTTTTCTTTGAATCCCACCTCTCTCTCTTTCTCTTTTCCTCCCACCCTCTGCGAGATTACGGTTACCATAGTAACACAGCAGATTGGCTTGGAAGTCACAGTGGTTGTGGGTACCATGGCAACACACATATGCTTGTGTTTCGCTCTGTTACTGCTGTCAACGTGTGTAGGATGCACACACAGGCACGTAGACACACACAAAGGCCCCACATTGTTGCACGTAACAAAAGCTTGCTCAGTAAAGATTAAAGGGGGCACAGCGTCAAGTCATTTTGTAAATGGCTTATGATTTATGCAGCAGATTCTGTGCACTTTGTATCAGTGCCAAGGCTCTACAGGATGGGGCGGTTAGCTGGACACATGGGGCCGCATGAGATGGTATGATGCTGGATGATTCTGCTCATCACAGCCCATTGGAAATATCAATATTTAATACAGGAAATAGAATATTGAAGCAGGCATTAGGGTAATTGCTGGATTATTACATAAATCAATCCGTTCTGTACATAGGAGCTGCATAGCTAGATAGAAACAAAGAGAAACAGCTTCCTTCTGGTTTAAGCATCTTTATCAGCTGTGGTCTGTTCCAGCTAAAATGTCAGACAGGGTTAAAGTTGAAACAGTTTGAACTTTGAGTGCAGCACTGAGGTGGTGTGTAACGTTAAGGTAGAGCTGCCCGTGAGGTTGAGCTTCATCGCTCTCTCCTGAGGAAAACGAGGGTTCAAGACCAAACTGATTCTGCCGGTAATGCTGGACGTGACCCAGTGCGGTGTTTACAGACCCACATCAACACACTGGCACCAAACCAGTCCTTTACACACACAGTCCCACACACACACACACACACACACACACATTCTTTTGTCCATTTATTATATTCATCTCATATATTTTTTATGCGGGTCGGTGCACGCGGTTTCGGAGGGCAGGAGGTTTCCATGGAAACAGCTCAGAGGAGAGGGAGATTAGGAGGAGATGGATGAAGAAGAGAAGTAAAGGTGGAGGGGAGTTAAAGAGTTAAGAGATTCTGTGGTGTGCTGTGTGTGTGTGTGTTGTGTGTTGTGTTGTGTGTGGTGTGGTGTGTGTGTCAGAGTGTGATTTTAGTTCACCGGACAAAACATTCGCTGTTCTCATAGTTACGACACACTTACAACGACCTCCCACGCACATTCATCATAATCACTGCAAAAGGGAATACATGTTGGTGTCTGCGTTCTTGTGTTGCTGCTGTTTTTGGTGTTAGTGAATGTAAAAGATTGGTCAGCCTGGACAGGAAACAAATGCTGCTTCTCTCGTTTCTCCCTCGTTGCACACGAAAACACACCGACGACGCAACAGCACAACCAGACACAATCTCACACACAGCACACACGAGCACACACACACACACAGTGATCCGACAAGCTGCTATTGGTTTATCATATAGTACTTTTTGTTACATTTAGACACAAACCATATTAATCATTTTTGTGCCTCCTGTCTTCGTCCCTCCCTCCGGAGCTCGCTGTATGATTTGTCTGTGGGACACAACAAGACTTAAAAATTGGTCAATTTATCTTTAAGGTGAATTTTCAACTATCGTCTATCGAGCCATCCATGTGTCCTAGAGGATTTGTTCTGGTGCGAAATGCTACCTCAGTGATAATTACTAGCTAGTTTCTCCCTATTTCCACTCTTTGTGTTAAGCTAAGCTAACAGGCTGCTGGCTGTACCTTCATATTTAGTGGAGAGATATGAGAGTGGCATCAAACTTCTCATCTAACCAAAAAGCAGACATGCGTAGTTCCCAAAATGTCAAATTCTTCCTTTAAGGTCACATCAGTAAGTGCAATAAACTGAACCTGGAATGATTGGAGAGATAATTGCTGAATTAAATTTTCCTTGGTCCCATCTTGAAATCAGCACTGCTATTTTGCTCAAATGTCTGCCGCTGATGACTAATGTATATTCATCTATTTATGAAAAACCCGGTTAGACATTGGGCGATAGCTATTTCCTGGCAGATGAAGAATTTGTGTAATTTCAGTGGGTTTGACTGAAAAGATAAATGCTTAAACAACAAAAAACGTTGGAAATTGAGTCATTGAATAAGAAATGATATAGTCAGATAGAGCAAATAAAACATTCAAGAGCTGCCACCGACAAAGATGTTTTTCAGGAAGTGATGTATGCCTCAACGAGTCTCTTTCTCTGTCTCCCTCCTCAATGTTTCCCTCTACAGGTACCTGATGAATGTGACGTTTGAGGGGCGTAATCTGTCGTTCAGCGAGGACGGATACCAGATGCACCCCAAGCTGGTCATCATTCTGCTCAACAAGGAGAGACAGTGGGACAGGGTGAGAGAGAGATGGCATCCCTGTGTGGTTGTATGTGTGTGTGTGTGCATGACACATGAAAACATGATAATCGCCATAAACCGGCCATGCTTATAAGGTGTAAACTGTAAATGAATGACAGGGTGGTAGCAATGCCAGTGAGTTAGCTGTATCCTGTAAGTACAGCACCTGATTCGTCCTATCTGCATCTCTTATCATCTGATTTTCACTTTTTAAGCATTTTGAGCCTTAAGCTTTCTAGGCGCTGCTCTGATTAGATATTATCAACTCGGCGAAGGTGCCTTTGAGCAATACACTGCAGCACAGGCTATTAGCTACTGCATGCTACCCATCATTTATCTACTTTTTTCTGTCTAAAAATGATTTGTTTTTTCACTAGTTGTTATGGAAAAGTGTCTCCACAAAGAATTCCTGTCAGAAGTAACAATGAGCAAGTAATAGTATTATATTATATCACCAGTGCTGGGTGCATTTAAATCTTAATGTGACTGGTAGCTTTAAGGCTCATACTGTACATAGTTGGTGTAAAGCTACAGCAAAAAGGCTTGCTTTGTAAAGTATAATTTCCAGATAGGAAGAATAAAATATGCATGTTTTGCTGCACATTTAGTACAGCATGTCCTTTGGCTGCACAAAAGGCTTCCACTGAAAATGATCTCTGTAATAGTCAGACCTGCAGCTACTCAGACATTGCGAGGAAGACAGCATGTACGCCGTAGTGTTGACTTATTTATCAAAGCATGTGTAGAACAACTTCTTAATGTTTGCTTAGGATCTGCCTGTACAAACAAGAAAATTAGTAGTACTAAGTATGCATACTCACCCCTTCACACAAACAACGGATCTCTACAAATCTCACCTTCTACATCCCTCTGCTTGTGCACGTGCCAGCTCATTAACATGACAACATTCCCCCAGAATACCAAATATGGTCAACCACATCCCTTTGAAAGTCGCAGTACCCTTAACGTAGAGTTACCTGTTGTGGAATAGAAGTAGCAACCAAGAAAGATAAAGGGGAAAATATCACCAACAAGTTTACATAGTGTGTGGGAAAGCTTTCCAGCATGCACCAGGACGACAGACTCAGGTCTGTGTGTTCCTGCTTCGTTACTAGTTTCATTGTATTTTACATTGTGCTCTACTACATTTCTACTCTTTCCACACTGCATTTGTTGTCATACAATTTAAAGCTAATTAAAGAACTGTGGGATACTAAATAGACATTTTGCACAGCACCATTTTAGTGTACTTTAGTGAGTACATATTTGCTTTTAGTTTATTTATTTATTTTAAACATTTTTAGAATTACAGAAAATATACCTGGCTCAGTTAAATCAGTGTATTATACAGCAATATAAAGGATAGGGTTAGCCAGAATTAAAAGTAAAAAAATTAAATAAATAAATAAAATGGAAAATATCAAAATATCAAAATATCAAATTACTATTATCATAGTACTCTGATATCAACATTTCTATTTTAATTTAAAATTCAAAAATATTTTTTTTTGGTCTACTTTTGAAGTTAAATCATCCTCCATACCAAAAAGTAACATTACATCACATTACAACAGTACATTGTTAATGCAGATTGATCACAATCATGTTTCATTAACAAATCTACCCATTATGCATACATGGTCAGCAGTAAAGTATAGTTCTAAATGTTTGCACAAACACAAGAAAATATTGATAAATTGGATTCTATGCATACAAATAAACATATGCATAAGCTCATAACTGTGCCTCAGGAGAGGGTGGAAGTTCAGCTATGAAAGACTGTGGTGCTATTGGGCAGCTTCCCCATGTGAATGCGTGAGAGCCAAACTTCAGTCAAACTTTGTATGAGCTCAGTCAGCTTTCTCTGAAGGTTAAAACTAGTGTACAGATGGAGAAATAGATCACATTTCAAAGTAGGGCTGGTAGAGCAGATAGGGCAACAACAATCCTGAGTCATGTTCTGAACCAACAACCTTAAATGAACTTGGTGCTACCCGCCACCTGCAAAGTCACCAACATGCATCTGTGTTTCCTGATGCCCCCACCCCCCCTCCCCCCCATTGTATCTGTGTCCTGCAGTCTGACTCCTTTGACTCTCCCTATTCTTTATTCTCAGTGTTTCTCTCTCTTTCTTCTGCCTCTCTAATCTATATTCTGTCCTCTGATCAGAGAACAAGGTGAATCGCTCCCTCTCTGTCTTTTCTCTCTCTTTCTCCCCTTGCAGCCTGCACCACCCGTCTCTTCCCCCTCCCACTCCCACACTCATGTTTAATTCTTAGCTTGACTTCCAGCTGAACCACTTTTCATGGATCCTAATGAGTTCCAGCTCCTACAACCATCCTTCCACTGCACCTTTGAAGTAGTGCGGAGACTCTGTAGTGTCCAGTCCAGTTTACACCTCTCTAGGCTGATTTTAACCCTTTTCTCTCTGTCTCCCACCCCCTTTTCTCTCTTTCCCTCCATCCCTGTCTTTCTGTATCACTTACTCCCGCTTGTTTTTTTTTGTTTTTTTTGTTTTTTTTGTCCAGATAGAAGAAGGCTGCATTGTGCCCCAGAGATACACAGCCTTAGCTTGTCCACTCCAGGCAGCCTTGGCAAGTTTGTGTTCCCTGGAGTGCAATAAGTGTGTGTGTGTGTTACATATTTAACAAGTGTGCAAACCTGACTTTACACACTCGCTCCCTGTCCTGCCCTCTCTCCCATTATCGTGTGTCCACTTAGCTGATGATCCATATCCATTTTCCACCCACATCTTTCCCTAAATGAAAGTGGCCTTCTTCTTGGCACTTCTAGAGGAAAAGGGCGTATGCAGAGTCTCCAGGTATGGTTTCATGTGACCGGCATCTGAGAGAAATGGACTAATGGATGACGCTTATTCAGTGGAGTACAGCCACAAGGGCTGGAGGGCCCTCCAGACGTACAGCTGGACCCTCCTCTAGAGAAGAGCTAGCATTTTGCATCTGAATGAGCTCCATATCAGGCTTTCTGTCTCTGTCACACACATACTCACTTAACGCTTTCGCTCCATCTCTAGTCCAGTTTCTCCCTTATTCTCTGCAAATGTAACTCAATCTCAGTTTTTTCTGTCTCATGTACCCCCCGCTCCACACACACACACACGCACCACACAGCACACGACACGCGACACACAACAGCATGCACACACGCGACGGTGGAAACAGCGCCAAATCACCACCCCCCGTACACTCTTTGTTATTGTTATCTCTCTCTCTCTCTCTCTCTCTTCAATCACTCCATCCACTGTCTCACAGCTTCTCTCTCTACCCTTTCGTCTTGATCTGAATTCTGCTCTTTCCTCCGTTCCAGTCTCGTCCTTCATGTTAACCTTGCTCTCATTCTCTACTCTGGCTTCCAGTCCTCTCCTCGCCTCGCCTCTCACTAACTTTCTCTGTCGCCGTATTTCACTTATATATTTTAAGTCATGAAATTCTTCCGGTTACCTCCTTGTTCCTTTATTGACAAGTGGACTAATCACAGTTAAACCCAGAAAAACAGAAAATGAGGGAATTTAACCATAATCAGAGTGAGATGTTTTTGCATAACAAGCATTCAAACTCTACATTGCTTTTTGGCAATCAACTCTGGCTCTGCAAGAGCAGAGCTGCAGTTATTTTTGATGGACTTGCGTCATTGCAGCATGGAATTTAATCTGAATTCATTTTGGAATTTGGTTCCTACCCAGTGATTTATTTCATGTAGTTACACTTAAAATTGAGTTGATGAGCTACTTGTACAGACTGAATTCAAATGTAAGGCTATGAGTCTCCATGATTGCGTTTAACTTGTGTGTATGGCATTTTGAAGGCAATCTGAATGTCTTTTGTTTGCTGTATGTCTCTGCAGGTGGGTAAATGGGAGAATGGTTCCCTGTCCATGAAGTACCATGTGTGGCCTCGCTATGAGCTATATGGGGGGGCAGCAACCAGGGAGGATGACCACCTGTCCATCGTGACATTGGAGGAGGCTCCGTTCGTCATTGTGGAAGACGTGGATCCGCTGAGCGGGACCTGTATGAGGAACACCGTACCCTGCCGGAAACAGATCAAAACACTGTGAGAATTAAAAAAAAAGAATAAGAATGCACGTCAAGAAGAAAATGTAACTTTAATTTCAGCACTGATAAAGACTGATTCTGTCCATCTGCCACATTAGCTGACAGATCCACCTACTGCACAACTGACCAAAGTAGAAATGAAAAAAAAAAACTGGCAACTGCCTAAATTATGCTTGTGAATGATGTTAATTTCCCACGGCAGCTGTACAGAGCCAGAGGTAGAATCAGTTCACACTTCATCTATGTGAGAGAGAGTGTGTGTGTGACAGTGCCAGAAACACAGAATCACGACAACAATTAAAAATGCCAATTCAGACAGAAGTACGTCTTTGATTAAATAATTATCTGTTTATCTGTCTGCGCAGTAATCAGACGAAGGACTCTGGGATCTACATAAAGCGTTGCTGTAAGGGTTTTTGCATCGACATCCTGAAGAAGATCGCCAAGCAGGTCAAGTTCACCTACGACCTTTACCTGGTCACCAACGGCAAACATGGCAAGAAGATCAATGGAACATGGAATGGCATGGTGGGAGAGGTGAGGAGATGTTTGTCTTTCCGGGGCTACGTCTGTGTCTTCCTTTTATGTTTGCAGTCAAATCTGTGATTGCGTGTGACGTGTTCATCAGATACATCCTAGCAAAGAACCCTCCGCCCCAAAGTGGACAAATCTGAAAGCTGCCTCTTTATGCTCGTCTTGTGTAAATTATATAACAGTCTCATTTGTAGTTTGTTGGCAAAGCTTGAAAGTAAATATTTCACCTAATTCACAGTTTGTAACATCATCTTACCTTTATTGATGTTACTGCGGTTTAAAATGCGGTGCTGAGACATTTGGGCGTACATTGCAGAAAGATATCGGTATATTTGGCATCAAGTCAGCCAAGGAAAAGAAAACGATTTCTTTCCCTCAGTTTGAGGCCTGAACAGAAAATGCTACGATTACAAAACAGGCTTTGGTGCACAAAGGGAGTCAGCCTTTGCGCGGAAGTTGAAATTGACATTGAAAATGACTCCCAACAAAACAGTACAGTCGATTGTACAGTGCGAACAACAGAGAGACTTTTTTTTCCTATAGACTAAGCATGTGTAGGCTGAAGCTTCCTACCCTTTTTGCAAAACACTTTCTACTTGATGTCAAAAGTAACATCATATAAGTTCCTCACCTTCCCTGCTGTACTAATGCCAACATGAAATTATAATCAAACATTTTTATATTTGTCAATTTTTTAAACAAACACATTTTCACATTTGTATAAACTGTAAATTAATATTATATATAAACTGTGATTTATATTATATATAAACTGTGATTTATATTATATATAAACTGTAATTTTGTACATCAGTCCTGACCTTATGTATAAACATGCAGATGTTTTCTAATTTTAAACAACTTTTAAACACTTTCAGGTAGTTGTTTATTTTTCACCTGAATTTTAGCAACCTTTAATTTCATTTAATGAACAGTTAGCTCTATTTAGATATATTTAAATAGCTAGTATATAAAGTGGATTTGGATTCCCCATACTTCCACACAATGAGTAATGCTCATATAACTGAACAATACAAGGTGTATTTCTTATTTTATACAATATTGCAATAGATTTTCACACTTTTTCTTTGACATAATTTATGTGCGTCTGTCAATGTTATTTCATTATCTCCCCCCAAAAAATAATTACAGACACTATTTCAGTTTCATTATCACTTATCGTAAGTTGTGTTACATAATTGTCTAAGATGATGAATTTAGTTTGGTAAAAATCAACCATTGTTTACAAGTTCCAACCCCAGACTATTAAAACGTCTTAAATTCTTACAACTAAAAAAACAATTCTATCATCTGAAAATAAAATATATTTTAAGTCTCCCAGCTGAATTGCACATTTGCGTTTACAGCCAGAAGAATGTGTAAATTGCCATCACTGTGCAGTCAATGTGATTGTGGTTTTTGGCATTATTTGAGTACTTCACGACGCCAGGAATTTCTTCCAAGGTGTTGGTGAAGGTGAAGAAAAGATCAAAGGGTGACAGAGTTACAGTCTGTGTTCACCCGTGTGCTATATTTAGCTTCCATAGGAGCTGCCTGGAGGGTCCATTTCCTCTTTGAAGTGTGTTTTCATACCTTGAATTATGAGCTTTCCTTTCCGGGTCAACCCCTCTGCCCAACAGAGCTAACACTTGTCAGATGGGCTAAGCACCTCACCCAAGGGTGGGTACAGTTCAGTCAGCTGCAACAATTCACTCTGGGCCCTAAACATTCCCTAATCGACATTGGTCCCGAGGTAAGGTCGTTGTCAGTTCTCATACTTCAACCTGTAAGAACGAGCTGCACTTCTGCTGTCTGACTTTGGCTATTAGTTAATGAAGGAAAAGGCAAACAGATCAATAGTAGCCCAAAGGTCACAGGTTCAAAACACACACTGTCCCTCTTTGTGTGGACACTGTTAAGTAACCTTCAGATGCCAGAGCAAGATCATGTGTCCATTTTGTCCCGTGGTAAAACTTTTTTTTCCTGTTTACATTAAACTGACCCATTTAATCTACTGTTTATGTAAAGCCATTTAAGTCCTCCTGCCAGTCAGCTGGTGTCTTTAGTGGGCACTGAGCTATAAGTGTGGTCACCTGTAATAAACTCTATCATCCTGACTAAAAGCGCCATAATGTGCGTCTCCTTCTCACCTCCACAGATGAATGGTCATTAGGAGGAGGAGGGGGAGGAGGGGGGTGGGATGCAGACAAGGGACACTCGTGCATGAATGATCACAGAAATAAGAGAATACATGCATGACTGCAGACACATGGGCACAGACAGGCCTACACATCCAGACTGTTTGCATATGTGCTCACAGAGGACACTTGTAATGTCAATTTATCTCTCTCTCACATACACACATACACACATACACACACACACACACACTTGACCGTAGTTCTGCCATATCTGCTGTATCTAACAAAACCAACCCGTGTCCTTCTGCAGTTGGAATACAGCCAAAACTACAGTATATCTCTAACCCTTAATGGACCGAATCTGTACTGATGCTGACACACACACACACACTAGGACGTGCCTCGGCACACTCCTGGACACTCACCGAGATCACTGAGGACCTCTATGCAATTTGCCACAGCTTGCTTTAAGAATGCCTACATTTTGTCCTAACTCAATTCTAGCAGCGAGTGTCAGATTTCATGGGCTGCATTGACTTGCACTGCCCCTAATACTCCTAATCTAAATTATTAGAGGTAATGCACTTGATTACATGAGTTCTGGCCTCGCTAGCAGAGTCACATAAAGACACCAGCGAACACACGGACACACACACACACACACACCAGCTGAGACACATACACATGCACAAGCGCAGATCCTCGCTCACTCATTCTCAATAACACCCACATGGGTCACTTTCATAACACATAGAGAACAAGTCGTAGGAGGGAGATGGAGAGAGCGAACTGAAGAGAGAGGAAGTGAGTACACTGCTGGATGGACTCGCTCTCTCTTCCCTGGGGAGACATTCACACATTCAGGCACTAAACGCACACACACACACACACACACACACACAAGTGAACATGCACATCCGCACTTACATGCTGACAGAACAAACAAGATTGAAAAGTTACAAATGCACACACAGATGCATACGCACTCTCACTAGCAGACACAAACACTTTGAAAACTGCGGATAATGTGCAGAGTAGATGTGTAATATTCTCCCTGCCTGTAAAGGTCCACTTCACAGGTGGAGAACAAAGGTTCGCTCACTTCTCTTTCTCTCTGTCTTTTTCCCTTTATGACTCACTCATATACACAGACACACATAGACACACACATACACACACATACACTCTAACGCTGAAGCACATACAGGAGCTTTGACTCACACAGTCACAAACGCCTTATTAACTCACTAAGACAGTCTCGTCCCACTTTACCCCTGTGCTGTAGGGCTCTAAAATGTGGGGCTAAATATACCTGTGCAGAGGTACTGACGGGGAGGGAGGCAGGTAGAGGAAGGAGAGGCATTGGGGCGGCTATTTCAAGCAGCCATGACCCACTGTGGTAACCCACTTTCTTCCTCCCTCTTTCTGTCTTTCTCCCTCTCTCCCTCCCCTGGTACGCATCACGAGTGTCCACTCTGAGCGCTGTGTGTGTGGAAAGTGTGTTGGCCTTCTGTCTCCACCAGCCGAGCTCTATCTTTGCCTCCGATGTCTCCATTCGGGTTTCTTTGCCTCACTTTGCTCACTTTAATTCTTCCCCCACTTTTTTTTAATGTATCCGCTTTACCTCAACCTGTCCCATCTGCTCTTATGTCAGATTTGATTCCCTACATTTCCCAAAATATCTTTTGACAGCTAACAGAGAGAGTGCCTGTGTCTCCTGAATGCTTCATACATGTTAATGGAGAAGGAAGACAAGTTTTCCTCTTCAGTCAGAACAAACTGGCTGCTGCACAGTTGTCAGGTGAAAAATTGCTATTTGGACCTTCTGGAATGGATTTTGTATGATTTGCTGCACATCAGTGTAAAGTGATGCGTCTTGACAAAGGTTATTGCTCTTGGATTATAAGACCTGATACTAAAGCCTAATATTTACTCCTGATATATTAGATTACTGAAAAACATTTCGGCTTAGAGGCTTGGTCACATTTATTCATTCACCCAGTAAAATAAAAACAGAACCAACAACAAAAAGACACGCAATGGACATCGCAAAAAGTTATTTTTCAGCCATGTTTGCACAATGCCCTTTAGAACTATAAGGATGTCCATGTCACAATAACATTTTGTAACTTGGGGTGCTGTGGTAGCTCACCTGGTAGAGCTGGTGCCCCATGTACAAAGGTCGGGTCCTTGTTGCAGCGGCCATGGGT